AGCACAGACCTGAAACACTGACCACAAACAACCACCTTCTGTTAAAGTGTCTCATCAGGTTTGTGAGGTAGAATCTGAGCTGAGGTTCTGGTTCTGGTTCTGGTGCAGTACCTTTGTTGGGCCTCCAGAGCCGCTCCATGCCGTGCCTCATGAGGACGATCCGGGCCAGCTCGGTGAACGACTCGGTGATGTTGAAGTTGCACAGCGGACTCACCTCGAAGAAGGTGACGCCCAGCTTCCTGGCGTACACCTGAGCCTGCTCCGTGGTCACCTGGCGCTTGTAGGCCAGGTGGAGGCGGTTCCCCACCAGGATCTTGGGAACCCCTGGTGCATGCTGGGTAGACAGGGACAGGAGGCTGTGACAGGGTCCGGTTCTGGTGCTGTTGATTGGTCAATCTGTGAAACACCACCCCCGCTACTGACCACTGACCTCGTCTATCTCTTTGATCCACCGATCGATTCCGTCGAAGGACCAGCGGTTGGTGATGTCGTAGACCAGGATGACTCCCTGGAGAGCAACACGACTGCAATCAGCTACTCAACAGTTTACGAGGAGCGATGACACAAAACTGAACTCCTAAAAGGTTTTAAAAATTAACCAAACTCACAGAAAACAGTCAAAAGCTCTGATGTCGGCTAACGGGCTAACGGGCTAATGGGCTAACACAGCATTAGCGTGGCTAACAGCATTAGCGTGGCTAACAGCATTAGCGTGGCTAACCCACTGCTGAGCTCACTAGTGACCAGTTAGCTACACACGGTAACACCTTCAACACAATAAACATGTTTATGTTTATGTTTGCCATCAACATTTACCAGAAACACATGAAACACAAACCAGCTGACGGCCGACTACGCGGTCCGGATCTGGATCTATAGATCTATGTGTAAAGATTCACCAGAACGCATCCAAGCCTGAGCTCGTTTCATCACAGCAGACATTTGGCTCAAACTGTGTCTTAATGAGTGTTTGGATTGTGGAGTTAAGACCAAACCAGTGTGGACCTTTGATCTCCTGAACGGGTTCATGGTTTAAACGAACGTCTGTTAGTTGCGGTTAAACAACAACATGACACCAAACACTGACACTGAAGTCCATTTTCACGCTTTTACGTTCTGATTTAAATGATTAGTCACCTAATGAGTCCAATAAAGAAAACCGGAAGAACCGTTGAAGGAACTTCAGAGAACAAACTTAAACATGTTCTGACTGCAGCGTCTGTAACGGGAGGAGTTCTG